TACATATACATGTGTCTATTTATATATGTATGTATAGTACAGTATAGTATTGTGAGCATATATTGTAAAGTTAGTAAAAACAAACTACTTTCAATGAATTTTATAATCAAACCATTTTTTGTGAACTCAAGTTAAAGTAGGAAAGTAACTTGTACTTTTAGTACTTTTGCTGCTAATAAGGAACAAATAGTTCTCTTTTCCTGTATTTTGAGTAGATCCTAAATCTGGAGTGGCATGCAAATTTTAGTTAGAGTTTAACAAAGTAACGCGTCACAGATTGCCACCAAAGAGAATTCGAAAAAGACTGATTCGTGTTGACGTGATGGTAGATAGGAAGAGAAAAAAACAATACACTAAACAGTTTTATTAAAAAAAGATGATATTTTGTACAAACTCACAGTGAGACTACTGTATAAGTACACTTCATTTTAAATCATCATCCACTTTTTTCCCCACAACAAAACTGTTTAATTGTATTTTTTTTCGGCTTTATATCTATCTACCATTAACCGACACAACCTTTATATATAATAATCCAATAACTGATCACTCTCACCATGATTATTATCACCATCATCAGCCTCGCCATCAACGCTCTCCCCCTCATCAGAGAACCGAACCATCGAACTCTCCAGAGCCGAGGATTGGCTGGATATCATCATGAAGCAGAAATTCCCCGACCTCGAACCTCGGGCTCTTGCGGCGGTCCTTCACGCCGTCCGCGCCGCTTACATCTACAGGAACGGATACACCACCAAAGTCCCCGTCAAGATTATTTCCGAGGTGAGGGGGGGAGAAGGGGAGAGGGAGGGAAGGAGAGGAGAGTAAAAGAGGAAGAGGAGACAGAGTAGGAAAGAGGGAAGACAGGGAGGGGGAGAAGGGGAGAGGGAGTGAAGGAGGGGAGAGTAAAAGAGGAAGAGGAGACAGAGAAGGAAAGAGGAAAGACGGGGAGTGAAGGAGGGGAGACTAAAGGAGGAAGAGGAGACAGAGAAGGAAAGAAGAAAGACGGGGAGGGGGAAAGGGAGAAGGAAGGAAGAGAATAAAAAAAAAGTGGAAAAGGAGAGTAAAAGGAAAGAGAAATGCAAAAAAAAGAAAGTGAAGAAAAGAAGCCCCCACCCCCCCAAAAAAAAAAGGAAAGGAGGAAAGAAGGCGAAGGAAGAAAGGAAAGAAGAGAGAGAAATAGAGAAAACTTAAAGAAAAAGATTGGTTAACTCCGGGTGCCAGGAGGACGCGGCAGCTCAACCGAATCATCCTGAGGGCAGCGTCATGCGATAGATAAGGGGGGGAGGGTGATAAGAAGGAAGGGGGGGAGAGGAGAGGAAAAGGGTGTAGGAAGGAAGGAGGGGAAGGGAGAGAAGAGGGAAGGGAGGAGGAAGGAAGGGGGGAAGAGGAGAGAAGAGGGAAGGGAGAAGGGGAGGGGAGAGGAGAGGAAAAAGGTGTAGGAAGGAAGGAGGAGAGAGGAGAGAAGAGGGAAGGAAAGAGGGGAGAAAAGAGAAGAGGGAAGGGAGGAGGAAGGAAGGAGAGAAGAGGAGAGAAAAGGGCAAAGGAGGAAGGAAGGAGGAGAGAAGAGAGAAGAGGGAAGGAAGGAGAGGAGAGAAGAGGGAAGGAGGAGGAGGAGGAGGAGGTTGAGAAGGTGAAATGGGTTGTATATACACATACATATATGTGTGTGTGTGTGTCTATATACATATATATATATATATATATATATATATATATATATATATATATATATATATATATATATATATATATATATATATATATACACAATGTATGTATCTATGTATGTTTAATAGGTAGATTGATAGATTATTCGACAGACAGATAAAGTTACATATACATATGCATATATATGTACTTACAGATAGCTGGATAGATAGGCAGGCTGATCGATAGAGAGACAGACACAGAGAGACAGATATAGATTTATACATATACTGTATATCACCTCAAATTCCTTTCCTTATGAAGCTGGCCACAAAGATCACCAAGGGGCGCTAGAACACACAATAATGAGAGGGACATAAAGAGACTTCACTTTCTGTATGTTATATTTTCCTTCTTTCTTTCTTTCTTCCATTCTTTTATCATGCCATGCCTTCCTGGTATTATATCCCTTTGATCTTGACTAATGAGGTGTGTATATCTATATTTTTATCGTATTTTCTATTATTGTTGTTGGATTTGTCATTGTCATTATGATAATTAGTTTGCAATTATTATTTGCAATAATCATTAGTACTCTCATTGTAATAATCATTATTGTTATTATCATTATTATCAGTATCATCATCATCATCATCATTAATATTATCATCATTATCATCTTCACATCCATCACTACCATATTCCCATTATCACTATCACAACCATTACCATACTTCCCGTTATCACCACTACAGAAATTATTGGTACTACCATTACACTAAATTCCTTACCACCATAGTCATCACTCCCATTACCACGATCCTCATAACCACCAACCGCTACCTTAGAACTACCATAACCACCGGCTACTATCATACACCCACCATAACTACCACCCACCCCCATACAACCACCACCCACTTACCATACACCCACCATAACCACCACCCACTACCATTCAACCACCATCCACTACCATAAAACCACCACCCACCCCCATAAAACCACCAAACAACCACCCACCTCCATAAAACCACCATACAACCACCACCCACCACCATACACCCACCATAACCACCACCCACCCCCATAAACCCACCACCCACCCCCACCCACCCCCATACACCCACCATTAACCCCCCCTCCCCCCTCTCCGCAGCTCATCTCCGACCTGGGCCTCCGCGTTCCCTGCGTCGAGGAAGCCGGGTTGTTGAGCCACTGGACGCGCCTCTACTTCGCTGAGTTCTCCTACGTGTCACCCGACGACGTGCGGGTGGGCAGCCAGAAGTGGATAGGTAGGTGGATAGGGGGAGGTGGATTGGGGGGAGGGTAGGTGGATAGGGGGAGGAGGATTAGGGGGGGAGGTGGATTAGGGGGGGAGGTGGATAGGGGGTAGGTGGATAGGTGGGAAGGTGGATTAGGGGGGAGGAGAGGTAGAGGCGGAGGAAGGTGGATAGGGGAGGGGAGGTAGAGGTGGGTAGGTAGGTGGTTAGGGGGAGGAGGATTGGGGGGGGGAGGGAGGTGGAGGTGGGAAGGTGGATAGGGGAGGGGGATTAGGGGGGGAGGGGAGGTGGATAGGGGGAGGGGAGGTAGAGGTGGGTAGGTAGGTGGATAGGGGGAGGAGGATTAGGGGGGGAGGGGAGGTAGAGGTGGAAAGGTGGATATGGGAAAGGGATAGGGGGAAGGGGAGGTAGAATTGGGTAGATGGATAAAGCAGTGGGTAAGAGAGAGGTTCAATAACGGAAAAGGAATAAAGGAGAAGATAGGAGAAAGGGAATAAGGGAGAGGTAGAGGCGGAGGCATAGGAGTAAGTGGATAGAAGAGAAGACAAGAAAAAGGAGAAAAAAAGTTAGGTACGTGGATAGAATAAGAGGATAGGAGATATTAGGAGAAAAAGAGAATAGGTGAATGGAAATAAGTGGATAAAAGAGAGGGTAAGAGAGAGTGGATAGGGGATATCAGTGGATAAAATAGAAGATAAGAAATAGGGCAATAAAAGGTACGTAGAAAGTAAATGGGGGGGGGTATGAAAGGGTTAAGGAAGTCGTCTAAACACTCGAAAAATTGCCGAATTTTCTTTACGAGTTGATTAATTTTCAACACTTAGCGAGATCACTCTTTGTATATATGGATCGAATTTATGATACTATCCATAATCTAAATGTTAATTAGTTGAGATAACATCAGTTCCTTTGAATGTGACTCGTGAGGGTAACGACATTATCTAACAAAAAATAAATTACTTCAGAAAATAATAATAAGCTCGATAATGTCCACCATATATGTAGAAAATAAAAAGAAAATAATATAAGTTCGATAATGTCCATTATTTGCATAGGAAAAAAAATATTCTTATAAGAAATCTAAATTATCATATTTCGGACTTTTTGCAGGTTCTTACCACGAGAGCGACCTGCAGTTCGTGTTCGGCCAGCCCTTCCTCGGCCTGGCCAACACCCTCCGTGGCCCCAAAGACCGCTCTGTGGCCACTACCATCATGAGTGTCATCATCTCCTTCGCACATACGGGGTAAGAAAAAAAAAGTGAAGGAAGATTAACCGTCGTGTGTAAGAAAAAGAGATTTGAAAAAAAAAAAAATGGCGGGAAAATTCTTGGGTCGAGTTGGCTTGATACGGTTGTGTATATATATAAATATTTTTTTTCTTTCGGTTTGTATATAGGAGAGTACGAAATATAAAGTGATTTCATTTAATTACTACTGAGAGGTCTCGTGATTGTATTTTTTTTATCTATCTATTTATCATCATTATTATTATTTTATTTTATTTTTTTATTATTATTATCATTATCATTATCATTTATTATCAGTATTATTATTATCATTATTATTATTATAATTATTATCATCATAATCATCCTTATTTACATACCACTGGATATGACGAATAAAACACATTTAAAAATAATTTCCGGATAATTGCAATTACCGCATTCTCTCCAGCGTGCCTGAGTTGGGCGAGATGGAATGGCCGGCTTACAACCTAAGTCACCTCGTCCACCTTGAACTGAGTGAACAGCTGTCTCTGAGCCACAACCTCGTTCAACACAGGTAAAGGTTAAACCACAGTTGGTGATCGTGATAAATACAAGTTGTGTTTGTCAAATGTATATAAGTAACGTGTTATTAGGTGCATTATTTTTTTTCTCGTTTATATATTGGTGTAAAAAAAACTGTATGTTTTTCTCGCTTTTTAACTTTCATTATCAGCTGTTGGTGCATCTGGTTGACAGGTGTTAGATTATAGCCTTAACGCACAGGTTAATCAGCTTATAACGCAAAGATAAGTGAAATTGAAGAATTGGCAAAATACAAGTTGAGGTCGAACATTATATAGGAGAATAGGTTTTGAACAAATTCAAATATTTGTAATTTGCATCATTTGGCTGTATTTTTTAATGGCCTCATGCTTTGCAAAAGTGTCCTCCCCAAAAATTAACACATGATAATCTTTATAATAAAACAGCCTATGTTTCCAACCATTTTTACTACCTCTTTCAAAAAAATACCTTCTCTGAACATATAAACATACAATAATCATCATCATAAAGAAAAAAATATATCATTCACTTTTTTGTTCTTTTCTTCCCTTTCGTTCTTCTCTCTTTCTCTCTTCAGTCTGCAGTACTTTCCCTGAGAAAGTAAGCATCATTATCATATAATGAAAAACTGCCAATTATTATTTTTTTTCCTACCGTCTTCCCCCCCCCCCCTAAAAAAAACTTTTCCTGAAAATAAAAATACATAACAGTCATTACTGTTTTTTGTTTTGTTTTGTTTTTTTGTTTTTTTTGGTTTTTGTTTTTTTGGTTTAAATAATTTCTCTTTCTCTCTGCAGTTTGTGTTTCTGGCAGCGGTTCATTCCCCTCATGACCCTGTTCCCCATGAAGCCACCGGAGGAGGAGCCAAACGCGGCCCCGCCCTTCGCCACGCCCCCCGTGTCGTTGCTCCTCCTCTCCTCCTTCCTGCACCGGGCCTTCACCTAAATCCTTTGGGGCAGAAGAACAACAAAGAACTAAAAAGAGAGAGAGAGAAGAAAAAAAATACAAGTGTTGAAGGCGTTTGTTGAAAAATGGCGACTTTTTAATTTTTTTTCTATTTTTTTTTTTCTAATCTTTTATGTGAAACTAGTAGGGAATTTTCTGTTTTTGTTTTTTTTAGGTCTTTATGTGAAACTTTTAGGGAATTTTCTATTTTCTTTTTTTTTTTTAGTCCTCTGTGTGATTTTTTTTATGGAAATCCGTTTGTGAGCGAGAGATGACAAAGATTTAAATTTTGAGAAACAAATGTCTATCTTAAATATTTCATAAAATAATACATGTAAATAAAAATGATTCCTTTTTTTCCATCTCCCACACTTTTTTAATATAATCTTTCTCGTCTTTCGTAAGAAAAATAAAAATGTCTCACAAGAAATAGATTAAAAAAACACATAAGGAGTATTTTTTGTTTGTTTGTGACTAGACTTCGAGTATATTAATCACTTTCAATGACATTTTATATTAATTCACTAATATATATTCTGTACGTTAAAAAAAATACAGTTTAACAAAAGATACAAGATTTGTTTGTTTTTCTTTGTATGTTTGTATGTGAGGGTTATCCAATTATAAGTGTCTATGTATATTTTTTCTATTTCTTTTTTATCTTATTCTTATTCTCATTTTTATTCTTCTTCGTTTCTCTTATTTTTTTCTGATTAAAAATGAAGAAGTTGTGTATGAGCAACAAGAAGTGATTTCAAAATGTATATATATATATAAATACAAGGGTGATTTGCCTATGTATTAGCATGCGTACTTGTTTGTTTGTTGTAGTCCCCCCCCCTCTCTTACTCTCTTTCTCTTTCTCTCTTTATCTCTCGTTCTCTTTCTCTCTCTCTCTCTCTCTCTCTCTCTCTCTCTCTCTCTCTCTCACTTTCTCCCTCGTTTCCTCCCTCCTCCTCCCTCCTCCCTCCCTCTCCCTCTCTCTCTCCCAAGTAGATCAGGACTACTTCTATTTTTATAAACCAAGTCGCCAATCGCAAAAAGAAAATTAAAGATAAAAATGTACCCCCAAAGGAAAGAGAAAACGAGAAACGCAAAAGTCATATTCTAAAAGTTTCTTCAGTGCGTCTCAAGCAATCGCCGTGAGAGGGCGTGTGCTTGTCTGTCACGAAGAAGAAACCACAGTGTTTATAAAGTGTAAATTTGTACATAGTTCCTGCTACCTAATGGATATAATTTGGTGCATTTGTGTATAGCTGTATTACTAACGATAGAAAAAGTGTCATTTGATGGAGATGTATTATGAACCAGAGATATAGATGATACGTTCTTTAATGTAAAGTTGCAATATGTTATAGATATGATATATTTTTCTCTCTCTTTTCTCATTTCACTTGTCAGTAACCATTTTGAGAAGCTGTAAGGGAGATTGGCGTGGAGCAAAAACCTGCTTATGTAGAAGGCTACTGTTTATACAAGTTTAGTTATTTTGAAAAACTGTTGAATGTCATTTGTTTTTTTTTCGTGAGAATATTAGATGATATGTATTAATCCTTGTTTGATATTTTAAAGTAAATATTGATCCCCACGATTTGTTTCTCTCTCCCGGGCTGTCCTTTAAAAGAAATGTGAAAAGCACGTGTGTGATTCTTCCCACAAAATGTAATGTTCACATGGACGAAGAAAGTCAAGGCATTCGGTATCTTAACCTACAAGATATATTTAAACTAAGAATTAAAGAGAAAGAGAATCTATACTCCATTCAGATAAATTAATAAATGAATGAATAAATAAGATGATATTAAAAGTATAACTAGCAACACTAAGAGTACTTAGAACCCGTTGGACTCTGTTCTTCCTAATTATGCAGTGTCTGTTTTAAACCTAAAATTGACAGTATTTCGATCGTCTTTCATATTATTTATTTATTTATCTAATTTGTATATTCATAATTACATCTTATTCATTTATTTTAAGACAGCGATCTCTGTCCCTGAAGTGCGTTTCAATAAACCTCATTTTCCGTTCCTGATTCTGGCTCCTCACACCCTACTAATTCGATTCCAGAAATTCACTAATTAATTGCCGAGTTTCGCCCTTGTAATGAACGTTTCGGCTTGTGATTCCGGACAGAATGAATCACTCTAAAATGTTGATGAAGGAGACGTGATTCTGAATGGAATTAATGACTTTATAAAGTTTTATAACCAAGGCAACGAAAGTCATAAAACAAACACAAACACCTCGGTCATCTATATTCAAGTTTTACGTAAATATATGTAGTTTTAACGATAACGATATCGATGAAAGATAGCCACGTCTCTCGTGGTTTACGTAAATGGCTGTTTCAGTTCATGGTCTAAATCACTCTTCACGACATCCCACAGTCATTATCTTTGCAGAATAGAGTGTAACTATATGTTCAACCATTTAGGCGAGTATTTATTCGAACTAGATGAAAAAAATAATAAAAGATAAGGTTAGGTCACAAGAGCACATTATCAAATCCATCGGAATGTTGGTTTTCGTTCCTTCGTAATAATTTACGTGAGTGTGCAAATACCTTCATATCTGTAAGGACGTAGACGTATTCGGTTTAATAAATGTTACGCTCGTGTTGAGCCTCCAATACCTCTTAAATGAAAAAATACACACACACACACACACACACACACTATCGTAATCTACGAATACCGAAACAATATATATATATTCCTTCGCTCATTTCCTTTACCAAATGACTAATGGAAGAACTGACGTCTTGTTTAATACATTCCATTTTGACTCTACGAATTTAGTCTTCTTTCCCTAGGTGACATTGACAAGTTTTTTTCTAGGCCTACTTCAAGTTTGGTGAAGTCATTATATCATAATCAAAATAAACAACAACGCATGAGTAGAACCTCCATTTTTATCCCCGACATTCACAAAACAATCAAACAAACAAAACAAAACAGAAAAAAACGGAGCCAGGGAAGCAATTGATTAAACTGGCATAGCTTAGCCGCCAGATAAATCCTGGATGAGAAGTCTAGATCTTCATTACAGAGAGAGAGAAAAAAAATAATCAGATCTTAATTTATCGTCTCTCGTCGGAGCTGGAAATAGATGATTGAATTATTAGAAACAAAAAAAAAAAAAGATAATAAACGGAACAGGTCGATACGAGTAAACGATTATTTATTAGTTTGTAAAGAAAAAGTAAAGTAAAAAAAAGAAAAATCGTAAAGCAGTTATTTGAAAGTGGAAATATTTTGTTTTTGTTTTATGATAATTTTGTGTAAAACAACCTTTTGAGAGTTATATATCGAATAACTGATTTAAGATTGACGCAATTATCATCACTATGATTTCCATAAGAGTAATACTGAAGCATTCTAAGAGCAATAATGATAATGATATTGAGATTTTAAAACAATTCTGATACTAAATGATGGTAAAAAAGACATGACATTAATGGTAGTTTTAGAATGATGATGATCAGGAGATAAACATAATAATGATGAAACATATGAAAATAATATCGCCAGCGGTAGTAACTATTTTTTGGCTGTTACCCTCCCCCCCCCAACATGAAGTAAAGTTAACCCTCGTTCTGGCACACACATGGAATGAATGAAAACTGCTACAAAGCTGAAGAATTTCACGCAATTTCAAACAATTTCTTTGTTTATACTACTTTCTCTACTTTGTTTGCGAGTTTACAAGGACAGAAAATCCTTGTTAGTAAAGGCAGGTTGTTGCAAAAGGCAGCAGTAGCATTTTAGTCGCTGCCTTTGTAGTTTCAAATATATGGCAAGAGCACAGAACACTCGAATAATCCGTAATCCGTTAAAATGGTTAAAGTGTCATTCATACCGTATGCACTACCCTCGAAATTTCTAGATTTTCTCCATTCCCCATATTGAAATAATTTAAACATGTTCCCGATCACTGATATAGATGATAATAACAGCTGTACGCGTACTGGTATAATTATATTCAAGCAGAAGGAAATGTCACCAAATACTTTTTCGGTTCAGCGGTTGGCGTTCAATTACCTTTTCTCGTAAGCCTTTATCAAAAAAGTAACTGAAAATTCTATTTTATTTATCAAACTCTAAACAGTTTAATCCAACAAGAAAATATTAAATATATAATTTAGAGGTCAATAGATCAAGGCATCAAAGAAAACGTACCGTGTCGTAGCGCATCTCAGACTGTAGAAAACGATACCTCAGGTACATTTAATTCTCTCTTTTTAATTTAATCTCAAATAATTTAATACAATCAGAAAATACTAAATATATCAAATAGATAAAACTAGATCAAGCAGAAGGTATTTAATAGCCTCTTTCTACTTCATAGAAAACGTACTGTGCCATAACGCATCTCGTACTATAGAAAACGAGAACTCAAATACCTTTAATCCTAGTGTTTTTATTTAACATCAAATAATTTAATCCAATAAGAAAATATTAAATGTATCCAACAAATGAGAACCTCAAATACATTTCCATTTTTTAAATATCTAACCACAAATAATTTCATTCAATAGGAAAATACCGCATTTATCAAATAAAAGTTAATAAATCAAGACAAAAGGTAATTATTAGCCGTCCCACACCACAGGAAACGTATCGTGCCATAACTCATTTCAGACTATAAAAAATGACACCTCAGATACATCTAATTCTGTTATTTTTTTACCTCTAATAATCTAATGTAATAAGAAAATATTAAATTTATTGAATAGATGTCAAGCAATAAGTTGTCCAACACCACAGAAAACGTGACGTGCCATAACGCATCTTAAACTATAGAAAACGATACATAAGATACATTTTTTTTTAATTCTCTTATGATTTAGTGCAATAAGAAAATATTAAATGTATCCAATAAATGTCAATAGATCCAAGAAAAAGGTTATTATTAGCCGTCCCACACCACAGAAAACGTGGCGTGCTATAACGCATTTCAGACTATAGAAAACGAGGCATCATCTGCGTTAACAGACACGCTCTCCATTTCTTCCAAAGTCACTGTACCTCAAAAGGAAGATTAAACCAGAAGATTACAGGCCCCTTTCCTAACGTACTCCATAAAATTACAGGCTACTCGCCCAGCGCACTCTATAAATAGACTGGTTATCAACCGCAGGGGAGAATATTGAAACCATACCCTGTCTCACTCGTCCCTACATGAGGTACCGTGATATACAAGGTTAGTAAAGATGGTATACTATGGTTATAGGATTATAAGGAGTGAAATTATTTGAGTGCATTATAATAATAAAACTTGTAGAAACACCGAAGTCTTTGAGTTAACAGCGACACTCCCTGGCATTGTATTATCGTTGCAAAAACGACAAATTGACCAAGTTATAAAAAGGAAGGCAGAAAATAAATCGAAAAGCTCATTTACAAACTAACGTCGTTATTAACTTGATACGACAAGGGTCTCTCTTTAGGAAAATTAATGCATTCATGTCAACTTGATTATACCTTGCATTATATCGATTATGTATCAGTCGTTGATATAGGAGGAATCCAATATAGTCATTGAGTTTTGTTGTATGTTATAATGTACTATGTACAGTATGTTGCTAAAGTTTTGTTATGTTATATATATATATATATATATATATATATATATATATATATATATATATATATATATATATATATGTATATATTATATATATATATATATATATATATATATATATATATATATATATATATATAATCAAAGTATTTGCGTATAAGAAAATGTTAACAAAACCTACTTATACATATTAGTCTATCATATACTCCTTACTATCATGTCTACTTACAAAAAAAAAAAATAATAAATAAATAAATAATATATATAAATATGATTATAACAGCAACACAAATAACCCCATGGTGACTTGTTTGGTTCCACTTGACTTGTGACACCGTGACTGAAATGTCTTTATCTTCAGTCACCCCTAAAGAAGTTATAAGTTTTCTCTCATTCCATCAGTTGTTTGGATATAGTTCACAATGTATTGTATTTATCCAAATAGCAAAGCTAATGATGCAATGGGATCTGGATATAGTGTTTTTTCAACGTGTAAATTGTAAAACTGCACCGTGTGTGATATAGTTCAGATAAACAGCTGTAGTTGCACCAAAGCTTAGGATAAAAAAGGATAACGCCGATTTTACAAATCTCATTTTTATTCAAGGCATTTGATACCCAATACTTATGTTTATGTATTTATATATTTTTGTGTGATGCCCTGAATCTGTATATATATATATATATATATATATATATATATATATATATATATATATTTCTTTTCTTTTCTTTTAAGACTTGGCAAATCGGAGTACTCTAGAGTCTGATTGAGTTGCCAGTTTTTCATTTCCTGGATTTTAATTGTAAATTAGTCCTTGGGTAAAAGCAGGAATCAATCTAAAGACATTGTTTACACTCTTAACTAGTAATAAGTTTGATAATAATGGAATTAATTCATACTCAGTAAAAGGAGGAAGAACACATTTTGAATTGTCTTCAATACATAGGAGGGAATTTTAATCATCGATGCAAGCCTGGAGGAGGCGTGGTCGTTAAGAA